TATATCATGTATAATGATCCATGGATATGAAGTAAATAAATTAATTAATTAATTAAGTAAAAAAATCTCTTGTGTGAATTTGTCACATTCCCCCCCCCTGTTGCCACTAATTTGTTAGCTGAATAATCCAGTAGATGACTCTCGTTTGCATTTTGTGTCTGGTGGCTCATCTTTGATATGTTATTCACGGTTCACGACCGACAAATATTTGAGCACTGAAAGTCTTTGGCCGTGGGAGAGGCGGGAAATGGGTGCGTTGTACGGTTGTACGTATAATCTTAACCTTATACGTAACGTTGTAGTAAGCCTTAAACATAATGCAGAAGTCTTCTAGAATAAAACGTGAACTCGAGAACATAATAAGAAATCCTCCGCCTGGAATTTCTTGTGTTCAGAAAGGAGATTCTCTTGATGTTCTTGATGCTAGTAAGTTTCATATCGTAGCTTCGAATGTGGTTCATTCTTACGATTAGCAATTTCAGTCCAGTAAATATGACTTTAGAATATGGTAACAAACATTAGGTATATTAGAATGGTTTTTGTTAGACCTAGTGCCAAAAATAATCGAAATCAATGGCAGGTAATGTAATTAGTAATGGTTTCTCTTACGTGCTAGCAACGATGACCCCACGACATGACAGGACTAGAGACCGCAAATAATGTTACATTAAAAGCAGTCTGGATTGATATAACCTAACTTACCCGACCTTCGTCTGGAGTACATCGCAGTATTTACCAGTATTTGCTATTGCACATCGTGTTTTGGAAATTGAACAATCTGATGAAATTGTTTAGTTCGATTACAAACTGCATGTGTGAAGAAATTTAAGCAAAATTCTAGTAAATAGAAGCAGTCAGTGGTATTTGCTGGTGTCAACCTCTGCTTTGCAATGTTACACCTTTTTTGTTATGATAATGCAAACCTTAGGGTAGGTTCTGACTTGATGTTGCTAGGGAATGGTGTTAGTTCCCTTGTGGTTCTGAAAACTAGAATTTCACCAAGATCTAATAAGAGGGTTGATGTGCTGGTAACACTGAAGACTTGTATTCAATAGGTGCTTGGTTGTAGTCACAGTTGGAGACATTGTTTTTCCTGGCAGATTTTTTTTTTTGTGGTTCTCCTCTGTCCTTTCAATCAAAGGCCATGATAGTAACTGAGTTATGCTGTGACTACTTCCTTTAAAATCTATTCCAGGTCATCAGTCATTTGACATTGAGTGCTATATAGTATAGGTACGGATGGCATCATAAAATGACCAACAAACCAATTTTAACTTTTCTCTGTACACCATTCCATATACTGTTGTAGGTGATGAAGCATTTGTTCCTTTCTCAGACTTTTGCATGAGATAGAGGTGAGAGGTCTGATTCATATCCTTGCTGTCTGTATGAGAAAATGACAAACTTTGGATGATGGGCAGGTTTTATGCTATTGCATTCAGCGAATTGACAGCTGCAGCGAATTTGTTTGTAGGCTAATGCCATAACAAGTACGGTTGTTCTGTATGTTCTAATCTCAATTTTAAACGATATTTTACTCTTCAGGAAAGAACGTGTAATGTTAAATTTCAGTTACATTTTAATTATTGAATTAAGGATAATAGAATCATGTTTATGGTGAATTTAATGGCTTAATTGGACACATCCTGTTTCTTCATTTTCTTATTTAGGTATTATTGGGATGAAGGATACACCATATGAATCTGGTGTTTTTAAAATTGAGATACAAATTCCAGAGAAGTAAGTAATCCATTTGCTATTTTATGAACTCTAAATAGAAAGTTTGTGTTGAGACAAGATGGGGGTGACATGGTTGTCACTCGCTGAATATTTTTGTATATTCAGATTTTATGACAGTTTTGAAAATTTATCAATTTTTGTGTATTCAGGTTTTATGACAGTTTTGAAAATTTATCAATTTCTTTTTGATAAATTTTCAAAACTGTCATTAAACCTGAATACACAAAAATATTTGGGGAGTGACAACCATAATTTAACTTCCACATAAATCCACACTCATGTCACCCATGTTTCTAAATCATGTTTGGATTTGATTTTATAAAATATTGTTTATATGTCAGTATTGAAAATATGATACATAGGTTATATCCAGTTAATTCAACATAGACAGGATAAGGATCAGAAGTCTGTGCTGTAGAGCTTCTTCTGGGAACTAATTGTTTGTTCTTTAGTAATCAGAATTTGATTATATTTTGCAGATACCCATTTGAACCTCCATGCATGCGTTTCATAACCCCAGTGTACCATCCAAATGTAGATGTAGCTGGACGGATATGCCTTGATTTGCTACGTCTCCCCCCAAAAGGAACGTGGCGTCCAGTGATAACACTTAGCGGCTTGCTGACTTCTGTACAAATGTTGCTAGCACAACCAAATCCTGATGATCCCCTTATGACAGATATTGTGAGTACACAAATGTTATGTGTTCCAAAATTTTGGTTACTTTTCATAATATTATATTGTAGCACCCTGTTGCACATCACTTATTTTTCAACAGATGCCAGTGGTTCACTGTCTTACTTGCAACGCGTCCTTCTAATACTTATTTAAAATATTTTTGCATAAACACAGTGCATCTTTTAAACCTTATTTAAAAGTTTCTGTACGTTGCAGTACATGTTTCAACCAACATCAGTCCTCATCAGGTGTTCAAAAATTGTTTGTGGAAACTGTTGTACTTTGCTTCTCATTTCTAACAAAAGGAGCCACAGTCTTTGAGGTCTAAAATATGTACATTTTAGGCAACCTGGTGCTTCTGAAGTGTGAACCTGATCTGAGCTTTCCGGATTCATTTGCAGGCCGACGAGTACCGTTTCAACAAGCAAAAGAAGACACAGTCTTTGAGGTCTAAAATATGTACATTTTAGGCAACCTGGTGCTTCTGAAGTGTGAACCTGATCTGAGCTTTCCGGATTCATTTGCAGGCCGACGAGTACCGTTTCAACAAGCCCGAGTATGTCAGGAAGGCTAAAGAATGGACAAGGAAACATGCATTTCAAAACATGTCAAAGGAAAATGAATAGATAACAATTTGAAAATAATTCAGTACACAAATAGTCTAAGCAAGGCTGTGATTTTGTGATTTGTTACTTTGGTATTAGGTCATTTTGACGGAAACAAATGCAGAGCTAATCCTGATTACTTATGATACAATCAGAAGATGGCAGTAAATGACAGTGTGTCAATTAGTGTTACATTGTCATCATGCAGTATCATAGTGTTCTTTGTCTGGAAAAGGAAAACTCTGTACTGTTATCACTGTGCTTATTTTATCAGGCTGTCTTTCCAGAACTTTCCAAGTTCATAGTATGCATATTTGTAAAATCATGATTTCAAAATAACCCTCAAGGACTATGAGGTATACATACATACATACATACATATACTTCACATCTCACAAGTCCAGAATACAATGGACATGAAACTGGTCACAAGCATAACACAAACAAAGCAGAATGACAATACAAAGCTAAAAGAACACTGTAATTATTTACTGTATGCTCAAAAAATTCATCAACTGCATAAAATGAGTTATTCATGAGATATGAAAAATAAATTATTTTTAAAACTTGTTCTATCCTTCCTAATACATTGAATGGTCTCTGGCAATCTGTACCAGTAAATGTAGTGCCCTTCTGGAAAACTGAAATATTTGAAGTTGGAATATAAATTTGGTTTTTGCTTCTAGTGTTCAGGCCATGAACCTCTGAACCTGAACACAAATTATTTTGATTATCTGTCACAAACAACATCAAAGAAAAAAATATAGTCACATGACAATGGTAAAATATCTACGTAGTTTCTTAAAAAGACTTCTACATGAGTCTCTAGGTCCCACTCTCAATATGATCCTTATTAGTCCCTCAATGGAAGAGTCATGTGTGGAGCCCTAACTAGAGTGCAGAATGGCAATTGTCAAGTTCTCCCATTGACTTTTCAACGGGTGTTTCACTAGTGGCAGTAATGAATTACTGTAATGAGAATGAAAAATGTATGCATACAGCATTACTAAATTTTAAACTTAAACCTTAAACTGAAAGACCTTAAACATTACTAAAGACATTTTTATTTCAGAACCTATTTGATTAAGAAATGTATTTGTAGATTCAGGTCTCAAGCAGGTGCCTAATAAACATAACCATGAGTAAGTTAAGAGTAGATCAGTAAGGAGCATTTTTAATAATATCTCTACAATAGTTTACACCAAACATTTCACTGTTTTCTGGCCGATCTCAACAGAATGCAAATTGGATTTGGTCAACTCCAGTAACTGAGATAAGGATCGTAGGATGTGTATAGGTTATAACAGGGCTTGGTCACAGTGCATTACCCTCCTCATTCCCAGAGTGCAGATGCAACCACTGCCTTGCTACTGCTTGACATCTCATGTACAACCTAGGAGCCAAATCTGGAAACAATCTGTGCATGGAATTTGAGCTTGTCAGAGATGCCTGTAGTGAGGTGTCATTTTGTTGTGGTGTTATTATTTCAGAGTGGTTTGTTGGTTTAGCTTAGTATGATAAATCGAGTTATTTTACATGATATAATGTTATAATGTTTTTATATATTTTGTTTAAAAACTAATGTATTTTCTGAGGCATGAACTATACAGATAATATCTACAGAAAAATTATTTACAGAGTAATATGTGTTATTTTCTGTTTTGTTAAAACTGATCTGTAGCAGACATGGCCAAACAGTGGCTTGTGAGCACATCCAACTCTTTTTTTAGCACTTATTGCGGCTTATAGACAAAAAATTCTTTCTTTATAGATGGTTCAAATATAAAACATCTGCAGGTTGGAACGCACGTATCTAAACACCAGTGCCATCCTGTCTGTTTTTCCTTCAGTTCCCGAACTTCTGAAAACGTTTGTATGCGACACCAATGTTCAGTAAGTTTGGCCACCCCTGCTCTAATCAATTTTAATTCAGTAAAGAAAATAATAGCTTTATTAAAACTTTTTTGAGCGTTCTATGCATAAAATAGGTAACACAGCGAAAAGAATATATTCTGTCCATCTCCATGTACGTATCATCTCTGAAAATATTTGATGAGTTTCAGTGGAATTTTGTATTAACTTCAATGCTGAAGGTTGTCAGGGAAATTTGATTTTGGATTTTACTGGATACAAAGATTGTGTACCTGATGTCAAATATGTGTCTCATAATGCATATAATTAATATGTTTCTCATTTTTATGAACAAGGTGTCAGTAGATCTGGTGGAACAGTAAATTTGTATTTGTTTCTGCTGATGGAGAAAATACAACATGGAAGGAAAATTATAATTGTGACATGACAAATAAGACATTTAAAGAAAATAAATCATGGATAGTAACTCATTGTTATATTTTATATGAGGTAATGTGATTCAGTACTTACATAAATGTGTTAAAGCTTTGAATAAAGGTCATTACCATAATGTAGAGAAAATCAGCTTGTTTGAGATGGCTACTTTCACAGTATGTATTTAAATAAATTATATTACATGTTTAATGGAGTGAAGCTGTGAATTGTAATAGCTCCAATTCAATATTTGTACAGACAAACAATGTCAAGGCCAGTCACGCATGTAAAATGACAAGAGAACACGTGGAAAATATATGCTTTCCAAATTGAAGAACACCTTTCCAGTGATTACCTCCTTCTGTTTCTGAATATTAGCTCTTTGGCCCTGAACACTACAGTAATTCAGGTGATAGAATATTATTAAATGAAAAATAAGAACCTAATCAACACCATGGAGCTGAGTTCTTGAGTAGCCACCAGTTGCTCAGCTGCTCGAAAATTTCCCGACGTTATGTAACCCAAGATTCATTACCATGTTCACAAGAGCCTACCACTGGTCCCTATCTTGAACCAGATGAGTCCATCCATCCATTTTCTGTAAGATCCATTTAACTCTACTCCCACCTAGGTCTTCCTAGTTGTCTCTTTCCTTCTGGCTTTCACACCAAAGCCCTGTACGCCCTGTATGTCTCTTCCCCCCCCCCCAATGCATGTTAAATGTCCTGCTCGTTTCATCCTCTTTGGCATACTCATTCTAATTTTATCTGGTGAAGGGTACACGTCATGAAGCCCCACATTATGCAATTTTCCTCATGAATGCAAAATGTGAGGTGGAAGAACTGTGGGAATGGTATGCATAAAGAGGATACTTGGAAGAAAACAGAATTGTAAAATTAGTAAACAAGTACAAGCTTCATGGAAGAAGAAAACGGAAGCGACCAAAAAACGACAGACATCAATTTGGATGTAATAATTAGTTCACTATGTGAAGAACCTTATTATCGATTGAGCTGCCGCCGTCAATTGTTGCCCTAATAGGTAGCAGCACGTGAATAAATGGTAAAGATGAATCATGGGTTCATGTTCAAATAAGAGGCACCACATTCAGTTATTTTCATGTTGTAATTTTGTCTGCTTGTTGATTTTTCAGCCATTGTAAAATCTGTAATGTGGACGTCCTTCAAAGTTCAGTTGAATTGAATAACGCTACACTCGGAAGAGGTACCTGACAGTGCCGTATTTCATTCGGGGAATGTTGCTAAAGGCAATGCATTTGCCATGTGTGTGTTCGCACCGTACGTTGGTGTACGTCAACCACGTGTTATTGAGATGATTAGAAGTAGTCTTGCTCAGTTCGTAGCACATCGTGTAGTCCATTTGAAAAAGTGCAGCAACTATTGTATGAGATATATATCATACAGAAGTGCCACAGATTAACAATAAATATGTTTTGTATCAATTTAAAATGATATCTGACAATGATTTTAACCTGTGTAAAGGTGTCCTTGTGAATCATTAAATATAAAGACCACGTTTGACGTGCCGTACCTACATCTTACTATCTATACCTATACTCAACTGAGAACGGTGTTGCTGTGTTACAGGATTTTTTTATCGATTTAACGACGTGTCTGTATCGTACAGTAATTCATGGGGTTCATTATTAAGAGGTTATGTTTGATGTCCTGTAAGCATTTGGAGTCCAGGAATGACATGTAAGCCTAGGCTGTTTTCTTTTAAAGCTGTGTTGTATAGTTGGACACTCACTTAATTTTGGTTTCAGTTTTATTGTACATAGAGATGGATTAGCATTTAAAGAGCTCAGTGAGGATATCAAATGTCCTTACTAAGTTTGTCATGGTTATCCTCAGCCCCCAAAGGTAAAACCATGAATAAATAACTAGTAACATTTATTTTGGAAGTGGAATTATTTTATGATGCTGTCAGTTATAGGCTGTATGCTGTGGAATGGTATAATGATTGATGAAATTGGAAGGGGTTTGAAAAGAAATGGTAATGTGCTAATGAACGTACTTGACTGGATAGACAGAAGAAACCATGAAAGACATTAGGATATCTAGTATCGTGGACAATGTTTGAACTGAGCACCTCTTGGATATGAGTCTGGAGCATTACTACCATGCCAGCCTGCTTGGTGTCTCAGTATTAATGGAGGTTTGCCCTTCACATCTCTTTCAGTATGCTTAGGAAACTGCAAAGAGTGTACCAACTGCGTTGCACTTGGAGCAGGACCAGTATTGTACCACGAAGATTCTTTGCGGACGTAAATGATCTCAATAGAATCAAATTTGAGGAAGATTTCTCATCATCCCACATAGAAACGACAAGATTCCAGAAGTTCCTGTTAGCTGTTGGTTCAGCTGCTGTTTCGCTGTTGGACCCTATGAGAGCAGATATGATTGCGGTGATGGGGGAAACTGCAGGAGACACTGCAATTAAGTACATGCTGCAGAAGATGCAATCAGATAATGAAGGCCAAGAAATTCTTAGGTAAATTTACATTGAAGGTATCAGATCTTACCTAGATGTCTAAGGTAAGCAGTGGGAACTAGGGATTACTTACTTATGTAGCTGAGCCCTTGCCAATTCTGCAGCTACTCAAGAATTTCCCAGCATTTTATGGAACCTGAAGGTTCATTACTGTGTTCACAAGAGCCTCCACTGACCCCTATCCTGAACAAGATCAATCCAATCCATACCATCCCATCTTATCTCTCTAAGATCCATATTAATATTGTCCACCCAATATTATATTTAAGCATCATGTTGCACTCTATACGGTAAATGATATGAACTCTGTCCCAAGTGCAAACAATATATTATATGTCTTTGATCTTGCTCTCCTTTACACTACATGTTTCGGCCTCAAACGGCCATCATCAGGTGTATACACTCACGTTGCTGTTACACTGCATTTAGTTTAAAATTTAACATTTAAAAACACATTGTTCCTTTCGTTGTTACTATGAGCATCTACTTCGTTGATATCTGTCTGGTTTATAGATTATTTTTGTTGCACACGTTAGCACTTATAAAATCTTTAGTTCTAATTTGAAAATCCTTTAAAATTTTTCTCAAATTTTAAAATTTAAAATTGTCAGGTTTACTCGCCCTATGTCTATAATGCTGCAGCGGCTAGTTCTTGTTTCCAGCACTGTACAGTTATTTTGTGTAGTCTCCCTGTGTGCGTGCTGCTGCTATTCTTTACTACGTGTGCCTAAGCCAGGCAGATATCAACGAAGTAGATGCTCATAATAACAAGGAAAGGAACAATGTGTTTTTAAATGTTAAATTTTAAACTAAGTGCAGTGTAACAGCAACGTGAGTGTATACACCTGATGATGGCCGTTTGAGGCCGAAACATGTAGTGTAAAGGAGCGCAAGATCAAGGACATATAATATATTGTTTGCACTTGGGACGGAGTTCATATCATTTATCATTTATTGTCCACCCACCTATGCCTTGTTCTATCTAGTGGTCTCTTTCCTTCTGGAAGGGAACTAGGAATTGTATAATTTATTTGAGATTTAAGATTTTTGCAGCACTGACTATTAAGATTTTCTTTTATGGTCTTTTGGGGTGTCCTGTTTAGTACATAATTTTGTGTTTCTTTTCCTTTATCCTCCTTTGGGTTCCCCACATTTCCTTTTTATTTTATTTAGCTGTTTGCTTATTTTTATTTGTAAGTTCTTTTCCTACGTTTGTACCTTTTTTACATCTGTCATGACCACTGTCAAACCAGTCTTCTTAAGGATTATTACTTTCTATTTGTACTATGTGTTATGTTCTCCTTGCACAGTGTGCATGAAATGAACACATACAGGGCTGGTCATGTCTGTCTGTACATCTGTCCACATGTTTCAACTGGAACTGCTGGATGAATGTTCATGAAATTTGGTACTGTTATGAAACATTATTGAGCCATTTCAGTTTTAATATTGTCAAGTATGAGGGGTTTGTGTGACTAATAATACTGGGTTCTGGATTGGATTTATTGTCACTTCTATTACAATATCTCTTTCTTAATTACAACCAATTATGACAGCTCAGAATCAGTGACTGTCTAAGACTAGCTCCATTCCTTACTGGACTACGAGTGTCTTCTCTTCCACTGTGACCAACTTGGTTCTGATTTATGAATTGGTCACTTCTTCAGCTTCCGTTGTCCACTGGTTACCCCTCCGCAGCTGAACACTGAACTTCTGAATTCTCTTACGACTCAATGATTGAACTCAGAAATTAACTCACCTGAACTCATCTGAATCAGTTATGTGACCATCTTTTCTAACTTTGAGGTGAGGTGAATATAGATCACTTTTAATCGTTTGCTTTCGTGTGCAGTTTTTTGTTTCGAACAGATGCGTCTAGATTTCGAAACGGCGTGGTCGAATAAGTAGTTTTTCACCCTGAACAAAGGGGCTGTACTGAGTAAAAGCAGTAATAGTTAGTTAATCATGTAATGTGTGCATCCCAATAAAGTATTTGTTACATTGTTGTTTCGATTGGTTGACTCTTGTTGAAACCAAGGCCCATGCGCATGGCTGTGAGGAAGGATCCTTTGTTCTTCGACTGAAATGGCGCCTAAGACTTTATATACGTGGATCTAAGAGTCCAATATTTACAACGATAAAAGGGTAACACAGTCTCAGTGAGGGTTTTTAGTGAGGTAGGGGAGTGCCTAAACCAGTGAGCCCCCCTTCAGTGAAGCTACATCTTCGCGTGATTCCTCGGCGTTGTTAATATGTGACTCGCAGTGAGCAGCTATGTCAGAGTTAACCCTATACCCTAAATTGAAGTGAGTGGCAGGCGGTTACGTCGTGGTTACACTCTTGGGATGTAGCTCTGTGTATTGTGATACTGACTGATGTCTTGGAGGAACCGGTGTCTCTGTTTTTACTCTTGTGCCGTGAGATTGGAGGCAGCAATTTCAGACTTTGAACGTTTAAGAAGTCAGATTCTGAAAGGAGAGACAGGACAGCAAGAAATTGGATTCTGAACATTGCCTTTGGTTTGTGCGGACTTGGCTAGTATTATAGTTTCATTCAGTTGTCCAAATGCAAAGAAATGTTGACTTATTACCGAACATGTTTCTGTTACAGGAATAGGCCACGAATAAATTCCCGCACAGTTGATTTGGAGAAACTTCGACAGATGCCAGATGGAACTCTTGGGAGAACATACATAAAATTCCTGGATTCAAATGTAAGATGTTTTGAATTATTTTGTGTGTGTGTTTTTTTTTAAGTGCTAGTGCGGTGGGAATAAGTCCCTTGTACTGCGGCCACTTCTTACCTATTGTACCAGCCCCAGATGATAGGTGAGGGTGATTGTGGAGCAATTTGTAGAATGAAGATTGGCAGGGGAAACCGAAGTACTCTGAGAAAACCTACCCCAGTGCCACTTTGTCCACCACAAAACCCACTTGACGAGACGTGGGATCGAACCCGGGCCACCGTGGTGGAAAGCCAGCAACCAACCGCTTGAGCTGTGGCGCCGCCCGTGCGTAATGTGTAAGTAACAACACTGAATAATGCAGGGTGAGTCATTTGAAGGCGACCTGGAACAATCGTGCAGTAATTTACCCACGAAAATTAAACTTGGCAAGTTCGTACCTTGACAGATTTGTTGTTAGTTGGGTTATAGACGATGATCACGATCAAATTGTTTTCCTATGTTTGGAGACGGACTAGCATGACTCTCCATGTTCACATATCATCACATAATATAGTGTGACTCTAGACAGGGTTTGTATTCATGACTGGATTTCTTGCGCATTTTGATACGGTGCACGACTACATTTTACTGCCCCCCGCGTACGTGCTGTTGCTTGGTAGCGGCTTGCGGTAGTGGATGTTCCCCCTCTGGGTTCCCTAATGGTTCCTGGCCTTGGCTACCAGCTTCTAACAGCGCTCACAACAACTGTGCCGCAGCAATTCTCTCACTCACGGACTGACTGACTCCAGCTAACTGCTCCTGCTTATAACATCTCATCACAGAGCGCATAGAAAATATTGCTCATATGGTGCAGTGCAGTTGTATAGTGATCACATGACACATTCAATTGTTGCATGTGCAACCATTGGCGTGTACTATACAGGAAACACTATTTCTCTGTTGTTTAAGGGCCGCAGCCTAGTAACGGCCAACTGTTGTGACTCCACAATTCTTGCTTTCAGCGAATGTCACAGTATGTTACAGGTGGAATCACAGACTGAAGGAAATGTTGTTTACGGGCCACAGCCTAGTAACGGCCAACTGTTGTGACTCCACATTTCTTGCTTTCAGCGAATATGTCACAGTATGTTACAGGTGGAATCACAGACTGAAGGAAATGTTGTTTACAGGCCACAGCCTAGTAACAGCCAACTGTTGTGACCCCACAATTCTTGCTTTCAGCGAATATGTCACAGTATGTTGCAGGTGGAATCACAGACTGAAGGAAATGTTGTTTACGGGCCACAGACTAGTAATGGCCAACTGTTGTGACTCCACAATTCTTGCTTTCAGCGAATATGTCACAGTATGTTACAGGTGGAATCACAAACTGAAGGAAATGTTGTTTACGGGCCACAGACTAGTAATGGCCAACTGTTGTGACTCCACAATTCTTGCTTTGTGCAAATATGTTACAGTATGTTACAGGTGGAATCACAGTCTGAAAAAAATGCATTGATTGGGCAGGCGGATGCTGGACCAGTGTTTAAAAATACACGGTCTGGCCAAGTTTCATTTCTGTTGGTAGATTATTGTGTGATTTATGATTATTAAATTAGGTCCTCTTTCAAGCAAATTACCCTGTACAACATGGTGAATATTGGGGAACAACTAATTACAGCTTTCTAAGGTAACAGCAAACCTGTCTCTCTGCTAAAGATTACGATCTTCCGAGGTGTGACACCACGTCATCTGGTAGATATATGTGTTCTGGAGAAACCTGCTGACTCATCTTCAGGGTACTTGTTGATGTCGCCTCTCAGAAGACCATAAACTGCATAAGAAAGTCACTGCGTCCTAATTGTTAAAGTTGACTATTTGAATTTGTTTATCTTTCAAGGGGTCTGTCATCTGGGATATAAAGCCACGTAGTCTGTTGAAAATAAACTGATGATTTGGCTCTTCTTGTTAGCTGCTTCATGCCAGTTTGTTGCTTGGCTTATTCTTTGACCCTGAAGGAGGGGGTAACATGTTCGTCTGAAACATCAGATGAGTTTCAACGGACCACATGGCATTATTGTATTTCAGCATCGTGTTACATTGGTGTATCACTTTACACAACCACTCCTGTCCGTAATGCAACTTTGTTTATAATTAAAACTTAAATGAAAATAAACTGTTACATATTTCGAGTGTAGTCTGTATAATGACTGGCTATGGGCTGGATGACTGAGGGGTTTGGGTTCCAGTCCTGGTGGTGTCAGGAATTTTCTCCACACCAGCCATACAGGCTCTGGGGTCCATTCAACCTCGTATCCAATGGGCATTGTGGGGGGGGGGCTGCTCTTTCCCCAGCAGTAAAGCGGCCGGGGTATGAAGCTGACCACTCACCTCCAGCTAATGCAGAGGCCAAGAAAGTTTGTATCTTTGCATCCACTCCACCATATGCCTTCATGGCGTAGTGCTTAATTAAGCACAGGTACAACCATGCTGGTAAACACATTTCGGGCATACTTTGTCATCCTCAGGCAACTGTGCACTTGTTGAAATTGCTAGACTGCATTAGTTCTTAAGTTAAAATATTCTAATGTTATTCCATTTTTATCGTTCACTTGTTAAAATATACACAAACAGTGACATCACAAGAAGGCATCGCGTGGAATGATAGAGTGATGTTCTCAAGCATATGTACAAGTATTTTAATGAGTGAATGGTATGGTAAAGCCATCGCTGCAGCAGGCGCTGAAGGCCCACAGGGTTGTGAAATGTTGAGGCTCCCACATTTTCTCTAGATAATTAACTACCAGGTGGCGGTAAGATTGTCAGCGTTATGCCCTGGCAGCCCTTTACCCCCCAGGAAGAGTCCTTGTACTCATTTCTGTTTGAGGCCGAGTTGACTGCAGGGCCATAGTGCGGCAGGAAGGATTAGGTCAATTGAAAAAATCCAGTGACCTCATCGGGACTTAAACCCACGACCTTCCTGGTTGTAGCATAGTGTCTCAACCAACCATGCTACTGAGTGAACAAGGAAAATGGAATAACATTGAAATATTTTAATTGATACATTGTAACAATTTTAACAAGTGAACAGTTACCTGAGGATGGCTAAGTAAGGCCAAAACATGTAGCAGTTTAATTTTAACATTATTTTAAATTAAGGAGTAACTGTAAACGAAGTTGCATTGAAGATGGGAGTGAGCGTGTAAAGTGAGGCTTTGCAGTGCTGTATCTCAGAAGATACAACTCATCATAACCAATGGGCTGAGAACTCAAATCCTGCTCATTCTTATTTTCAGAAAGTGACGCCAGATTCTCGGTTACCAGTGCAGTTTGTGGATGACATAGAACTTGCATATGTTATACAGCGGTATCGAGAAGTTCATGACCTGTTCCACACCATACTTGGAATGCCTACAAACATGCTAGGTAATTATCATTTAAAGTAACATAATCAATAAATTGATGGGCCATTCCAACCCTTGCAATGCACTGACTCCAGTCTGTTATGCATCCCTCTCTTCAAATGAATATGGTACGTTTCTTATTGATGCCTTTTGATAGTCGTATGTTTTCATGAAATCATGCATCAGCTAAAACCAGACAGCCGCAAAGGACATGTTAAGTCATTTTGACTTTGTTATGTCACCTTTTACATGTGGAACTATTAGTCCCTGTTTGTGTAGATATCCTTTTAAGTGAGAGCATCCTGTGAATATTCCTGTCACATGCCTCAGTTAGTTACTGTTATGAATATTGATTTCATGATATTTGTAGTCTGTCAAGAGTTAGTTCCTTTCCTCACCACGCCTGCTTTCATCATGTTACTTTCCAATTAGTCTTTACTGCTAAAGCTGTCCACTGTGTTACATAATTTCATTTTCATTGGCTGTTATCAGTTTTCTTCAAATTTTCCTCAGGCGAAGTTACGGTAAAGTGGGTTGAAGCAATTCAGACTCGTCTTCCAATGTGTGTGGGTGGAGCTTTGTTTGGACCCCTTCGGCTGTATCCAAAGTAAGGAACTTGTTTGTGTGAGTGTTTAGTGTTTTATTTAATACAAATCTCAGTTCAGTTAATTAAAATTATTTCGAAGGAAATGATATTAAAAAGTTACAAAGGTGAAATAAATATTATAAGAGGGATGAAATAAGTGGATGATGTAGAATACTGTATGACAAGAAAGTTCATTACTTAATAATCTTGTACTACTAGGATATTGAAATCACTGGGCAGCCTTACTTCAGACACAAACTAAACTTTTGTCATTTAAATCTAGATAATTATGACCTTACAGGCAGCGACAGAAGTATGTGAAATATTATCTACCATGGGCCATCGAGACTGGAACAAATTGCAAGTTCCTCATGAATGTGTTTTATGAACATCGCTGGGAGCAGCCCATCAAAGAGCTTCACAAAGAGCTACATATCAAAGCACTACAAGTTCCAAAGTCTTAATGAAGATGATATTGGGGGCACAACGGTAGCGTAGTTGGTTGAGGCACTGTGCTACAAAAAGGTAGGTCATGGCTTTCATTCCCAATGAGGCCATTGGATTTTTCAGTTGACCTAATCCTCCCAGCCACACTGTGGCCCTGGGGTTGACTCAGCCTCTAACAGAAATTAATACAAGGTGGTAAAGGTCGGTTGGTGCGTGAAGCTGACAACATCACCCCTGGCTGTGTAGGAAATGTGGGAGCCTCAACATCTCTCAACCCTATATGTATCCAAGCCTGGTACAGGGATAGCTTTACCTTACCATCATCCTAATTAAAGGTTAGAAAAACTGTATTTGTTAGAATATAGTATTTAACTTGACTGTTATCATTTGTAAATGGTGCTGTAAGTGTGTGATCTGCAGGTTTTACAAATTTATACCTTAACAAAAACCAGTGAACAAAAGTTCAGTTTTGGTCTGCCTCATAGGAATTACCATAGTTCTTTGCCATAACTTTTATTTTTAACATAGATATTTAAATCACATACACACACACTCCCTCCCCCCCCCCCCTCCCTCTGGAAGCTCAGAACAATTTCTGTCCACACAGTGTACATCTCACAATACACCAGTTCTTAACCAGCTGATCGTTTGTACTAGACATTTGTGTCCCATGAAGTAGGAACTGGACGTCTGTCTAGTATGAATGGAAAGAGAAATTAAAATAGTATAGTAGGAGTACTAGTTACGAAATATTTATGAGAATTTAACATCATTTTTACTGATGAGGAATTGAAGATGCCTTTAGTCAGCTTGCCTTATGGCAGACCTGATTATTAAGATGAGAACAATACTGTGTTGAAACGTGTTTATTATTATTATTGGGATGTTCAAGTTGTTTTGTAATTTGCACTTCTTAATGCACATAATCAAATTAAATTACATACAGTAAGAGATTAGAGAATTATAATTTCTGTTGCGAAGAAAAGTGTCTTATTTGGTGCTGTCTCTTTGGAAGTAGTTTGCAAAAAAGAGCAGTAGGTGAAATATAAGTTTTGTGGAAGAATTTTTTTTATCCCCTTGGTTGAGAATTGAATCTGGTCTTTTGCTTTCCATGTGAGGAGGAAGTAATGCATTTCCTCTTTTGGGAATGAGGCTACAGAGATTAAATCCAACTGTTAACACTTTGAATATTAATTGTCTATGGCTGGAATAGCAGTCTCATTTTCCCGTGGCTTTTGTAGACCAAGTAGTAAGATACTATGATGGCTTTAGGGTCCAGGTTTATTCCAAAGCCAAAATTACAAAAGTGTTTCCATTAAATTAAATTCATTATGTAAGATGTTCACTTTTTTTTTTTTTCAATGAAATGTCTTGATTTAAAGACTTCACAGTTAAAATCTTAACATCAAGTCAGTGCTTCATAAATACATTTTAATAAATTTTCACATTGTCTCTTGAACCACTGTATGAGATTTTCTCCTGGAGCACTTCCCAAAAAAATATACATTCCAAATATAATCCTCAAGCATGGATCCATTCATATACCAAAAGCACTGCTGCATGTGCATGTATATAGGGAGGGTGGACAAAATAATGGAAACATTAAGAAATTGAATATTATTTGTGTTGGCTACATTGACAGAATTTCAGTTGGCAACACTGAATGTTTTTCTATTTACACACTGTAGTGCTCATGTCAGTGCTTTAGTGATTGTGTTGAGTGACAGTCCATGTGAATGAATCAGAAAATGGGAGACTTTCTTGATTTTGAAAGAGGACAGATCATTGGTGGTGCATCTGTGACAAAAACTGCTGCACAATTAGATGTATCGAGAGTGACAGTTTATAAGATTGTCAGCTTACATGAATCATTGGAAGACCACATCAGCGAAGAGGAAAAGGGGATGAAAATCAACACTGGCAGAAAGCGACTGCCATACATTGAGAAGGATTGTTCAAAAAAAAAAAAAACCCTCACAACTGCAGCACAGGTGGACAGGACAGCAGAACTGAATATTCATCTTGAAGACTGTTTGCATGAAGCTGTTCAACATGAGCTTCAGAAATCCGACATCCACGGTAAGGCTGCAACTGCTAAACCTCTGATTACTGAAACTAATATTCAGATGTGTAAACGATGCTGTCATGACCATAAAACCTGGACATCAGACAAGTGGAAACGCGCGTCATATGGCCAGATGAGTTTTTCTTCGCGCTGTTCCCTACATCAGGAAGAGTTTACGTTTGGAGAACACCCGAGGAAGCCTATAATCCGGAATGTCCCAACAGTGAAACACTGGGTAGGTTCTATAATGGTTAGGTTAGCGTTATTGTAGTACAGTTCCATTATTGCCCTTCATGGCCAAATTACTGCAAGGGAATACATGGGCAGGTTGGGTAATCAGGTGCATACCAAGACCCAGACATTCCCAAAGAATGATGCAGTTTACCAAGACGGCAATGCTCCCATTCACACAGCTGGACTGTTCAGTCGTGGTTTGAAGAGCATGAAAGTGAAGTTCAACATATTCCCTGGCCACAATCACCAGATTTGAACATCATTGAGCCACTCAGGTCAGTTTTGGAGACTAAAGTGGTGACAGATTCCCACCTCCAACCTCTCTGAAGCAACTTGAAGATGTTCATCAAGAAGAATGGTATAAAATTCCGCTGGAGACTGTTCAAAACTTGTAGGAGTACATTCCAAGAAGGATTTTAGCCGTATTGACGGCAAAAGGTGGTCCAACACCATGTTAAGAAAGAAAATTTGTACAGTATCAGAAGTGTTTCCATTATTTTGTTCAACCTATGTACACATGTCTGTCTTCCTAAGAATGAATCTCACTTTTTAGTTACAAAATGTCTCCTTTCATCAGGTCTTGTAGGTGGTGTTACTGGATTAAATACAAAATCTGGAACACACAAAATATGAAATGGTTAAATAATAATCACAGCTGAACAGGGATTTATGTAAGTAATTGTTGGTAGAGTACTGGTTTCAGGGATGGAAATAAGGACGTGGATTCATCCCCAACTGCTTAGCCCCAAAGCTTTTTTTTGTAGCAAAGTTATTTACATTTCCTTAAGATGTCATAACTATTGTTTGCAATGGCATATGTGAAGAAATTCGTGAGCCAACTTTATAATTATTTGCTGTATAACAAGTGTTGGCCATTCCCTGGGAATATTTACGTGTCTCAAGTGGCTGTCTTTCTCAAGAGCCATTTCTATCCCTGGCCATTTTCAGCTGAGAGAGCAAAACAATTGGTGATGTACTGGGATAGCTCAGTTGGTATAGTGATTGGCTGCAGGCTGGACAGCTGAGGGGTCAAGAATTTTCTGCACGTCATCCACACCTGTACATGGGCAACTTTTTGGGGGTAAGATACATCTCCTATAGCTTCTCCTACTTAGTTGTCAGCCTTGGCTTCCCATGGCTTACCCTGTTTTCACTGAAGAGGCTGTGACGTCCAAGTTACAGTGGCATAACTTACAGCGGTGCTGGAGGAAATGTTGGCGCGCACAGCTTGTCGAGAATTTTAAAGTAGCAACCCTAATAATGGACTGTGATGCCTTGTCTGGCAACCAGTTGATAACCTTCATGATATTAAAGAAACAGGAAAGAAATCTGTTTTGTAGTACTTTTAATTTCTTGTAATACTGGAAGGATCTGTTTTTATTGTCTACCATTAGGCATAATAGCCCACCTGTCTATCCATTGTGCACCATTGTCGTTTTCTTTAAGAATAAAAGAGGAAGGTGAATGAAGCTAATATTTTACCTCTATTCACTTCATTCTTTATGTCATTGCGCTTTGGCATTTAGGGTAATTCCAATCATACCCATATATGTGGTAGGATACTCAGTTTAGTCATCAGAATTAAGAATCATATTTTTAGTTTGTAGGTTCATTATGGTGTTCAAAAGACCTTGCCATTGGCCATTGTCATGAGTCAGATGATCCATTCTGCAATCTCCTGGCTTTCTTTAAAATATATTTTAATATTATCTTCCTTTCTACTCCTGTTTGCAAAGCAGTCTCTTTCCTTAATGTTTTCCTACCAAAATGCATGGGCGCGAGAGAGAGAGAGAGAGAGTGTGTGTGTGTGTGTGTGTGCGCGCGCCCTTCTTTCTTATTTTATATATATGGTATTTCTCTAATGTATTCAAATGTCTACCCCTCTTTCCCGTTTTTATAACTTCCTACACATGAATGACACACAGAAACATGCAATCCCATATTTCAAACGATACACGAAATCTATACAGACTAATGGTACCTCCCTCTCTCCACTACCCATTCCTCCTCCTACACTCACCAACATAAAATACAGCACACGTATTAAAGATAGGCAGCGGCACACGCACAGAGAGCCTACACAGAGTAAGTACAAATAACAGTATAAACATATAAGAATAACATAACGTAACATAAGATAGTAATACGAATATTTGTATATTACAGACAATACCTGAACAACGATAAAACAAGAAGTGGCCGCTGCAGCACTATAGACATAGGGCGNTTTAGGGCCGAAACATGTAGTGTAGAGGAAGGAAAGAAGAAAGAACTACAATTAAATTGTTGCACTTAAGACGGAGTTTGTCTCATATACAGCTTAACCATATTTGTAACATGTCTGGGATCTGCTGTGTTGCTATCATTATCAACATTTTTTGTGTTTTTAACTTGCTATAGGCAAATATGAGGACAGTACTTTGAAGTACACTACAACCACTTCATGTGCAAACTTTTCAGGTTACCACAAACATCTCATTCAGCACAAAATAACCATTGCAACTGGAAGTGTTATTAAATAACCTATGAACTACTATCCTCCAGGGAGCATGTAGTAGCGTAGTTGGTTGAGACACTGCTACAAGCTGGAAGGTCGCAGGTTCAAGTCCTGATGAGGTCATTGGACTTTTTTTTTTTTTTTCAATTGACCTAATCCTTCCAGCTGCACTATGGCCCTGGGGTCGACTCAGCCTCTAACAGAAATGAGAACCCGGAATATTCTTTTGGGTAAAGGGCAGCGTATAGGGCTGACAACCTTGGTGCCATCTATGAGCAGATTGTCTAGTAAATGTGGGAACCTCAACATCTAACAACCCTATGGGCCTCCACAGTCTGTTACAGGGATACCTTTACTTTTTCTTTTTTACTTTTACTACTGTCCTCCAATGAAAGACCATGCCATAGCTCAAGTGGTTAGTCGCTGGCTTCCCATCACAGCGGCCCGGGTCTGGTCAAGTGGGATTTGTGGTGGACAAAGTGGCGCTGGGGCAGGTTTTCTCAGAGTACTTCAGTTTTCCCTGCCAATCTTCATTCCACCAATTGCTCCACAATCACCCTCACCTATCATCTGGGACTGGTATAATAGGCCAGAAGTGGCCGCAGTACAAGGGAATTAGTCCCACCCCACTAGCAATAAAAAAAAATCCTCCAATGAAGGCACATAACCATGCATGTTGATGTGCTGCTAAACCCACACACACTCAAATACTGTGCAAGCTGAAACTACTGGTATGATTCCCAGACGTCGCCTCTTGAAGGATAATACACTACTACCAAACACCAGTACATCAACCAGCAAACTTGAGTTGCTTATTACTTCTACTTGCCTTGTGCTTGTCCACTACTGTTCTGAGGAAGAACTTCATCATAAGGTCTTAAGTCTCTCAATGTCTGTAGCCCTAAGGAGTAGTGTCTTCTTTTAGGTTTAGTTGCATCATAACCGTCATCTGGTTGCAAAGTGGATGTGTTGCACCGCAATTTATTGTTCATAGCCTATGGAATATAATAAGTAATTATTTAATACAAGATTCATTTTCATGCCCCATAAAAATATCTTCCTTTCTATTCATGCAGGAATTATTAGAAACATTAGTACTTATACATAAATATTCATATTTATAAATGTTTACATAGCTCTCAGGTTCCCCCTATACTTATCTGTAAAAGGTAAAGTTTATCCCATGGCTGTTGATAGTATTGCTCCTTGAAGATGTATCATCTCATAGTTATACTATTTTTCTTCTCCAGAAAAGGCTATCAGTGATTTTGGGATATGGCAATAGAATTTCGTGTAGAAACATATTTAAAGAGTTAAAATATCATTTGCATCACAATATATATTTTCGTTAGTATTTGTTTTGCAAAATAAAGTTCTTTTTCCATCAAACACTGATTCTCATACTATTGATACTAGACAGAGACAAGATTTGTATCTACCTCAAGTTAATTTAACTATTTATCAAAAAGGAGTTTATTATGCAGGTATAAAAATATTTAATAAATTGCCCTTAGAGATGAAGAACACATCAAATAATTTTAAAAAGTGTAAGGTTGTATTAAGCCGGGCATGGTAGCCAGGTGGTCTAAGGCATGTACTGTCTTTGCTCGCTTTGAAACCGGGATCGTGGGTTCCAATCTCACTCAGGGCATGGATGTTTAGTTTGTGAGCGTTTTTCTGTGTTTGTGTACAGGTAGAGGCCTTGCGACGAGCTGATCACCCGCCCAAGGAGTCCTACCGAGTGTGTAAGATCTAGAAAAACCGAAGTGAACAGAGAAGTTCATGGAGGTAGGCCTAGGCCCACCGGGACTGTAGTGCAGATTCATAACCTTAGCAATACGTTGAAGTGAGTTGTCAGCCTAATACCCCAGACACTACAAGCCAGTATAAACTTTAAAATTTGTTAAATTAGGTCAGATCCAACTTAATACTGAATACACACATTTTAAAATTGAAAAGACACACAAAATAGATAGAATTCTATCAGGGTTTGTGTATTTCTCTCACCTGATGATGGCATGTGTGGGGTAAAACTGTTGTGAGTGAAACAAAAATCTGGGCGTGTGACAGTAAGATTTCCATTCACATTTCTAAGCACCAGAAATTGGATGTAACACTATGAGATGGTTGAAGATGCTCAAATTGCACACAAAGTTTGAAGTAAAGTGGGATAATGCGGTCTCCTTCAGATGCAGTTCAGTGATTTTTGTATACAATAACAATAGTGAATTTGGTTTCATTACCAGTGGAAGCCAGTATGTCTTGATTGATGCTTTCCTTCACCTTCTGTCCATTCTGGTAAATAAATGATGTCTACTGGCAGACTTGCTGAAGTTAGACAGTGTGTTTCTGTCACTATATTTTGTGTGTCAACCTTGAGGCTAAAATTGAGTGTCAGTACCAGCAAATATGTTTTTAGAGAAAAACGCTAGTCCTAGTACGCCAAATAAATTAACTTTTTTGATTATACTGTACCATAAGATTCTGCAGGTGACGATTCTTTTGTACAACTTGGTCCTGTAGTTCCCCCATATGACGTGCTTGATTTTCCACCTCTTTTTCTAAAGCTAGAATAGAAGGTAGTAATTTGAAACATTAATTACATCATTGAACATGTTAATTTCATACTAAAACTGGAACTGAAACAGGAAATACTTGCCTTCTGTGTTTCTTTTTTCTTTCTGCAGAAGGGCATTCAGTTTCATAATTTCGGTAGTGTAAGTTTCTTCAGCCTGGGTTAAATTATCACAGGATCGCTTGTTAAGAGCTTTCTGATATTGCAACTCCTGGTACATTTGATAGTGCCAAAATGTAAGGGCACGGTTTGTTACATCCATAATAATCTCTGGGCGCAATCCTGCTAGAACCATCTTTAACATACAATTAAATTTTTCTGAATACTTTATGAACTGTGGTATGCAATGTTTGGATAAGAAAGCATTTAACAACCAAATCATTTTTATAACTTTTTAGTACTGTGTCAGAGGTGTGAGGAAATGTACGATTATTAATTGCACATCTAAATATCTGAAATCTTTCAATACATTCTTCCCTCATAATAGGGTTAAGGCAATATATCTATATATTTTTCTTTTCCCACAATTTGAAATCCATGGTTTTGAGTCCTTGAGAAACTGATGATTTCTCTGCTAATTTAGAAATTTCCAATCATCACAGTGTTCACAAAAGGCCACCAGTGGTCCCTGTTATGTGCCAGATTAATCCAGTTTACACTGTCATACCCCGTTTCTTTAAGATCTATTTTAATATAATTTCATCCAGATATATGTTGGGTTGTATAATTTTACATCTTTCTCCCCTAACGTTATGAAAATGAGAAGAAAGGGACAGTAATATTCTAGAAGGTTGTGATGATGACATACCACTCATGCACTTAGTACTGTTTGGGTTCTGGACTCTGTCCATTGGCAAGTCCAGAAACCTAATTATACCAAAAGGGTAATATTCTTTGGCGTAATGATAGGAAGATTATATTACTAGAATGCTTATAGGCCCAGTAAAAGGCAGTGGAAGTTATTTCAAAACTCAACTCCAAACTGTGTGTAATGACATACATAATTCAACTTAAGAATTATATTACATCCCTGTTAAAGAAGGATTAGTCATATGAAACAGGGTTAGTATCGTTTAATGGCTTATGCAGAATGTTTGTGTCAATGCAGGAAATTACTGTAGCATTATGAACTGTGCATGTTCAAAGAAATCTCTGTACTTTCAATGGGCTTGTAACACAGTGTAGTAAATACCTAGTATATTGGAAAATATTTCTAAATGAAGTGTCAGTTTTGAAGTATGCTAGTTTTCCCACTTTCACATCATTTTAGCATCTGAGTGGGAACAATTTTACAGTACAGTGACATGTGCATTGGTTACTGATACTATACGTAACATAAAGCTTTTTACAAAATACACAGTTCCCTGAATTTATTAAAATGTACTGAAGTATTACAAATATTTTTTGGAAATTATTCATTCTGTTTTTTGTTTAAAAAATGGTTCGGAGGCTGGATTCTGTCTCCGCTTTCAGGCAAAACCTACAGTTTGTCCAAATAAATAAAACAGTTTTAAATGAAAACAAAGATGGCTAATATTCAGAAACAATATTTGTATTAATGTACCATCACACATTTTTAGATCTTATTTAAGTATTGTTTGAAATAATTCTAACAATTTTTTTTTAATCAGCTTGTCACAGTATTGTAATGATCTACCATGTTCATGTAATTGTAATCTGTTTCCTTTCATGCAGAAGAGCAAGAGCTTACAGATTTAAATTTTTCAGACGGATTTAAGTCCACTTTTACAATATCATGCTTCTCAGGTAGGTGCGTGTTGCAGGCAGGGCATATGATGTTTTCCTGTATGCTGAAAAATGCCTGGTCAGCATCCTCATCACAAAATGCGTGTGAACAACTTGTTATCCAAGCAGAGGCAATTAAACGTTTTCTGCACCTTTTATTATTACAATAAAGGTCCATATTCGCCATTATAATACGAAGACGAAGTATAATATGCTAAATATTCATTTTGATGGTAGACTTCTTCTTGACTACACTACGAATACAGCACACAATCACAAAATTTTCAACGTTGATCTTCGCGCTATGAGCAAGAAAGCAAGCTGCAAACTGAAAATTTGCCCGCCGTGTTGCGGGAATATAAGGGAAATATTGTTTCATTAGAATCTGTGCACCGAATACTGAGATTGATGCATTTTTAGCCCCTTTTTTGTTAGAGATTTAAGGGAAGCCGTTTGAAATTTGTGTAAAAATAAATACTTTCTTCCATTTAAGTCTTGCATTGCAGCCAACACATGTAAAGGCTGTAGAAAGATGTATTTGTAGCATGCTCTCCAACATAGGCATGTGAGGTTTACATCTCGTGGGAATATGATCTTAGACAGTGCCTGTTCCTGTCATGTGCGGTCATGTGTATACAAAGGCCGCGAAAGTGGTAAAGTGGATGCCCTTCGGGTGAATTTCTATCTGTTTTAATTTTTTTTTTAGTTTGAATGGCGGTATATAAAGCAAGGTGTGATAATTGTTAGTGACATTAATACGTTTTAATGTGCATACTAAAATGCAATTTTGTTTAATTTTTAATATTTTATTTGCAGGTTAAAAGAATTCGACGATGTGTTGGAACTTGAAGAAATTAACGTGAAGGTTCTCAGGAAACTGTGTTTTAATGGTTAGTAAAATAGTGCTGTCAGGCCGTTGTAAATAATTTAATGAACAGAGGGCAAATATAGGAAACTGAAACCAACGTGTTTACTTCGACCTTGTAACTTGAACTTCCGAAACGCCCCCTTGCATTATATGCGATACATGACAAATTAAAAAATGTTACATTCATTGCTTGGATTTTGCTGCTGTTTATGTTCCGGCCTTATGTGTTAGTGTAGTTTTTAAATAATAATATAATTTTTTTTCTGCGTTGTATTAGGACTACATTTACAACTATAATTGATTACATTCAGTAATAGGAATTGTGGAATTATCATGTTTTACTTATGTAAGTAGCAGTTACTACAGCAACAAATAATTGAAACATCTTTAGTGGGGTGAAGAAACCAAACCAAACCAAACATACACAAAATTAATTTGTAATAATGTGAGCAGTACCTTCATTAATGCAAACAGTGATACACTGAGATCCTGGGTCTGGTCAAGTGAGATCTGTGGTGGACAAAGTGGCACTGGGGCGGGTTTTTTCTCCGATTACTTCGGTTTCCCCTGCCTGTCTTCATTCCAGCAAATGCTCCATCATCATAACACAGGGCTGGTGGCCGCCGTGCCAAGTGGACCCAGCTGAACTCCCCCCCCACTAAGCGAATTAAAAAAAGATGCAAAAGATCTAATATAAGAAATTAGTGGTTTGTAAATTATAAAACCGAATATTAATGAAGTGAAATATTTTAAACAAGATACATGAAAAAAGTTTGGTGGGTAAAAATATATCAGTGTTCAAAGATTTTTGTACCCTGTTATGCATCGGAACTGGGGTAGTGCATTTAGTATGACCATGGGCTGTATGACAAGGATTAGATTTCTGGCAAGGGCAAGAGGTTTCTTTCTTTGTAGTGTCAAGACTGGCAGTGGTGCCGACCTAATTTTCTGTTAGTGGATATTGGGGCTCCTTCCCCTAGGGTAAGGTGGGCAGGGCATGAAGCTGACCACTCACCTGAATGTAGTGCCAAGGTCAAGAATGGTGGAGCTACACCTCCAGTTTACCCATACATCCTAATGCTGTGCATATTTAATGAAGCACATGGACAACTTCTTACATTGTATGTGTGACTTTAGTCCACTTAGCTGTGAAATTCAGCATATTAACTGAATCTTGAATAATTTTGTTTAATGAATGGAGAGAGTATGGCTAAACTCACAAATGACCAAGAAATGCTGAAAACTTTTATCATTGATGCTATGCATTTTGAAAGTTGTGAATTTCTGTACTATTATCCATAGTGGTTTTAGATGAGTATATGTCATAAATTTTACTGTAAGACCTTTCGCTTGCTTGGCCTCTTCGTATTTTGTTTTTAATTCTATGAAGAGATCATCAGGGGCACACAGTAGCGTAGTTGGTTGAAGAACTGTGCTACAAGCCAGAATGTTGTGTGTTTGATTTCCGATGAGGTCCTTGGATTTTTTTAGTTTACCTAATCATTCCAGCTACACTACGGCCCTGAGGTTAACTCAGTCTCTAACAAATGAGTACCAGGAATCCTGGCGGTAAAGGGTGGCCGGTCGCATAAGGCTGACGAACTCTCTGCCATCTGTTAGCTGATTGTCTAGGAAATGTGGGAGCCTCAGCATCTTTCAACCTGTGGCCCTCGATGACCTGTTACAGGGATAGCTTTACCTGTTACTTTTATGAAGATGATATCTCAATAGACAGTAATATTCATAGTTAATGCTGTGAGAACCTAAGATGGCTTGTGGATCGAATGTTAGTCACAAGCTCCAATTTACTTTTCGGTAATACTTGGACGTCCATGCTTAGGCATTCCATATGAACGAGGCAGAAGAGCGCTGTGTTGGAAACTGCTTCTGAATTATCTCCCTTTGGCTCGAGCATCATGGAGTGAGACACTTATGAGGAAAAGGGAGCTCTACAGGCAGTTCATAGGTAAAATTTATATTTTATTGCCATCATGTCTGGTGTGTCCAGATGCTTGCGTGTACTCTTTCATGTTATTTCCTTTCCAGTGCTTTATATTCATTTGCTTCTGCCCTTGGAATTGGTAAGTAACCTATAATATGCCCATCTCTACCCCTGGCATGTGACATCTGCAGCTGATGATCATATTGTTACAGCCTTGGTTGTTGAGGTGGGCTTAATGTGTAATCCGCTATGAGGCTAGTCTTGTAGCAAAGAAAGTTCTTGATTCTTGGCTTGTTTCTAAATATTCTTTCTTTTAAAAGTAGTCAGTCACCTGCTCTGTTCTCAAAACAGGCTCTTAAAAACAGCTATATATATATATATACAGTAAAACTTGGTTATAGCAACATCGGTTTCTGCGACACCTTGTCTATTGCGTCAAATATTCAATGGTACGAACTAATTCCTCATAAAGCAACTGTTTTTATACCTTGCTTAGTACGACATGCACAAATGCATCAACCTCGTATGTAACGTCATTTTCATTCCTGAATTTCTCTGATATCGTGGGAAAGTTCGATGTGTCTGCCCACCCTCACTTTCTCTACTTGCTGACGTGACTGCCCTGGAAGAATACGACCGCAGGCTGCAAGAGGAGCGTGGGTTTTATGCGAAAACAAGGGTGTGGGGTGGGACTGCGCGAATAGTGCAAGGGGACGCAGCAGGTTGTTAACTGCATTCCTTTCCTAGAATCTCATCTAACAGGACCTCACATTGTGTACTTACCCTATAGTGTTCCTGCCTAAACCCAGAGAAGTGCAGTAGCGAAAATCAGTAGTGCAGTAGCAATGAAAAGGACAGTTTTAAGCATTGAAGAGAAAGTTAAAGTGATTCGTGAAATATTGTGTGTATTGTCAGTGAAAAGCGCTGTAATATGTCTTTGATATTACACATTTGGGCAATTCCATGTTAATGTTACGTTAGTCTGTGCTTAACTACGTATTTCACTAAAAAATGCAACATTTTAACTCGGTTTTGGTAGATTTTTACGTGACTAACATAAGGCTACTGTGGAAGTGCCCATTTCGGTTACAACGACATTCGTTTATAATGACACTATTTTTAGGTCCCTTTGATGATGTTATAACCAACTTCTACTGTACATATATATTTGGGTTTCATAGAAGTTAGGGCATTTCTTGTGTTTTTGAGAGTCTTTTTTGCTTTTTTTAGAAGAACTCTCCATGAAGTTAGTTAATTACTTGTCTCAAAAACTTTCTATACAACTTACTTCAAACACTGGGGAGAGTTAAACCTAGAATGTTCAGCAAATTGCACGCATTACCCATGACTGACTAAGGGCCTGAATAGGCGCAGTTTAAATTCTGGCATGGATTTTTCTATTTTTAAGGATTGCATCATGTTGCACATATACAATGAACTTATAATTTTTACCATCAGCGCAACAGTACTGATTTCAATAGGAACTAATTTGAACAAACCATTTATAAGAAGGGGAAGGCTAACATTGGAGTTCAGTATTGGTATGTGAGAAACTTGCAGCACCTGAAGATCACCCATTTGAGGTTGAAACATGTATGTGCTATGTAAATAAATAATGAAGTATTGTTGCATTGACGGTAAAAAATGTATATGTTCATGGATTTTTCTCTTCAGAATGATGTTCAGACTTGAGGAATATTATCTTTTGGGTTATAATGACTTGTAGTTTATAAGTTTAATGATGTTTCAGAGTAATTTTCTGTCTTCATCTTCAGGGTTGAAGAGTGATCCTGTCAAGAAATAGAAGCAGGTGGCAGGCTGTTAGTGCTTATTCTTTTATCCCTGAGGATGGTGGCAGTATATTCTTCTAAAACATTGGAGGACTGCGACTGGTCTCCACATTGTTACATCCCAGAAGGCAATCTCTGTAGTTACTGCCCTGAGATCTCTGTAGCTCTTCCATTCTGGACAGTTTTTTATCTTTTCAGAAGAGATGATAGTGATGCCAGGAGAAACACACATCGATGGCAGTCGAGTCGATGTGACATTTGCAGATCATCCTTTAAACTCAAACCCAGACAGCCAGTGGCAGACATTCTTCAAAGACAATGAAGTGCTTTTACAGATAGATAAAGACGTCAGGTAAGGAATATAGCCCACTGCCTAACCCTGTCACATATAGTAGCAGTTCTGAGAAAATACAATATGGAGATTTTCCATGATGTGCTGGGAATAGATTGACAAACTGAGGAGCTGTTTTCTGCTCCATGCGAGTAACTACTTGAACTTAAGTGCAACTGTGACACATTTTTGGCGCGCCATGTGGTTCTGACGTGGATTACCAAATTCTGCAAGATACATAGGAATGTTGCTTCATGTTTTAGAGGTCATAGATTTGAATTCAAGCCCAGAGATAAATTACCCTGATATTCTCCCCCCCCTCACCCTTTTTGTGATTTTTCCCAGTTGCTCTAGGAAAATGCTGACAAAGTATCTTGAAATAGGTCATGACCATTTCCTTTCACCTTATTCCTAATTCATTATTCATATTCACCCATCCATTTGGTGGTGTGTGATATGTGCAGTTGATAACGTTATTCTAATTCATATTGTGATTTTAAGCCTTCAACCTTTTATATTATGAGTTGCTAAGCAGTGACTCTGTAAACATCAGTCGTTGCCTGTGCCGAGGAGCTATCTTTAAGACAATTTATGCTACAGGAGTCACTTGAGGGTCCACCTGTGGAGTGTTAACCAGCGGAAAGATATGACAAGCGAAGGGTTAAAACCGTAGTGTGCAACACTGAACTGTATAACGTGTCTGTCAGTGATAGCGCTGTAGTAAATGTGATTAAGAGAGATTGTAACCAAAGTGCCAATAAATTGAGTGATCCGAACTAGAACCCATCATTCTCGTCCTGAGTTTACTTGGTATTTTACGTGTACCTCATGGACAGGCCACTTTTCAGCGTGATGGTTTTTAATGATCCATCTGTTGGTAAGTACTGTAACAGTTTTGCATGAAGTTTACTGCCATGTCTCGTCACAGTCCAACATATAAATTTGACTTGTGGAGGCTGAAGTTTGATATCTCCTGTGATGTGACGTCTTGTAGTGCGGTAAGATATATTTATCAGTGTTTCAAAGGAACCTGGTACTGAGCTGCCATTTCCAATCGTCTCCTGTCAGGACAAGATGGAGATAATGTGTTCCATTGGTAAATGCCCACCAGGCTATAAACTTCACCCCTTTTTGTGTCCTTTGAAACTTCTTTCTTACTTGTGTCTTTATACAGGCATAAATAGCCCTGGAAGATCAGGTGCCTCTAAACACACACTTGTACACAAATGCAGTATCATCATATAAAGCAGTAAACAGATGACAGTATTCAGTGCAGTTTCTCTTGGTACAGGATACAGTAGAAACGTAGAGTGTACGTAAGATTCAAATATCATGTTTTTGGACATCCATCATTTTGTCTCTATTTAAAAACATCGTGTTTATTTTTCAAAACGTTTTGGAGACTGGATTGTGTCTCCATCTTCAGGTAAAACCTAGTCAGTTTATCCCAATCCATAGAGCTAATCCCTATCTCCAGACACCTATGCCAGTTTCAAGAAAGGGTACATAACTCAAACACAGTATAAACCATCTGTGACATCTAAGAACATATTCAATTATTGAAACTCCACACACACGAGGCCTTGCGCTAGAGAATCCAGTCTCTGAAACTTGTTTTGAAAAATAAGCAAGACTCTATTTAGATAGAGACAAGACAATGGATAATGTCCAAAAACATAATATTTCTACTAATGTACCATCATTACAAACTTTTAGATCTCATTTGTACTTGAGGTTGAAGGACAATTGAGGCTAGTAGGTAAATGACCTTAACATTGCTTTCAGACGTCTGTGTCCTGACATATCGTTCTTTCAACAAGCGACTGACTTCCCATGCCAGCAGGTGGTGCACAGTAGAGGCATTAAACGCCTGCACAGACGAGTGCAACATACTGTCCTGAAGTCCGCTAATGTTGAGCGGAAGGGTCTGGGTGTTACAAAGGTAAGCTGCGTCCTAATGACGAAAATGTCGTTTTTAGTGGCATTGAAATCCTGGATGTTGCAATCCGTGCGACAGGCCGTGGAGGCCAATAGGGTTGAGAGATGTCGAGGCTCCCACATTTTCTAAAGAAGGGGTCAGCCTTGCATGCCAGCTGCCCCTTACCCCCCCCCACACACATGCACGCGCACACACACACATGCACGCGCACACACACACACAAAAAGATTCCTGATACTCATTTCTGTTAGAAGCTGAGTCTATCCTGGGGCCATAGTGCAGCTGGAAGGATTAGGCCAACTGAAAAGACCTTTGACCTTCTGGCTTGTAGTGTAGTGCCTCAACCAATGTTGCATATAGGACCTATGTTGTAATACTGATCCACATAAATTTATGTGAAAAGGACCAAGGAAATTCTTATGTGTCAAAGTTATTACCTGAAAGGTACTCGTATTGTTTATGGCATGACATGGTGTAGTCTGGTAGAAAGGTATTGCTTTGTAGGAACCTGCTGCCTCCATCATCAGGGTAGAATGTTGGTAGAATTGGTGCAAAGACATTGCACATTCTTTCTCATTTATCTGTTCGGGCTGCTAAAGCTCATACCATTATTTTGCTGGATCACGATTTAGGCTGACAACCTTACCGCCATCTTTGAGCTGATTGTCTAGATAATGTGGGACGCTCGACATCTCAACCCTATGGGCCTTCACGGCCCCTTACAGGGATAGCTTTGCTTTACTTTTTTTTTCGTATACTCTTTTGTTTGGGTAGATGGTCTCCATAAAGAGCTGAAATTTAATGAAAATCATTGGAGCCTTTTCTGGGAAAATCACAGTTTTGTTTTTGGAGGCCATATGTAAGGTCCATGTTTTTTGAGTACTCATGAGAGTGACAGCTATAGTGAAGTTTGTGTGTGTTCTTATAATTGTGGTTTATGCAGTGTTTCGTCTATTGAAGTATAAGTAAGATTGGAGTTTAAGGTATGAGATCTCAATAATGGTGATTGATCACATTTTGGTTTCCAGGGCTGTGATACGTTTTACAATTTTACAATAGTATTATCTGGAAATCTTGCTTGAACAGTTTTCTGTATGAAGAATGAATCATGTTTTTTCTTCCTCAAACGCATTGACCGACTATGAAGGATTTGAAAAACACTGGCAGTTTTTAACTTTCAAAAATGTCTTTCCTCCTCCATCTGTACCTATAATATCATTTTGCTTAGGTGTATTGTTCCTTAAGGAGGTGGGATTAAAGTAAGGAAAAGCTGCAATGTTTTCTAAACAGTATGCCATGAAGGCGTATATGAGATGTAGAAATAATTCTTAATGTAGTCTTGACCTTGTTATTACAGTCTGGCCATGAACTATTGTACACTTGTATCAGCACTCAGCTCTGTCCACCTAGAAAAGCATTGGTCAGAAGTGATGTTATCAGTGTCCAGCTTAAAACAGCATTAGCCCTATAGACATTGCTTGATATGTGTGTTCCACTTCCATGATGTTGCTGACAGCATTTGCATGTATCAATATTTGAACTTCAGATGATCTTAACAACAGTGCTACATTCTTTGGCCTAAGTTAGGGGTTGCTGTATCACATGCAGGGGCTAGTGGTCACAGAATTGTGGCTGCACTCTAACGGAGGTGAGACGAGATGTAGGTTTAATAGTCTATATCTGGAAGAGAGATGAAAGTAGATCAACAAGAGAAAATTCCTGATGAAGTTAAAAAATTCTTGTATTTAAATAGTGGGTGTGGGTAATCAACTAATGTAAATATATTTTCTTTTCCATTGCCTTCTCAGCAGCAGGTATGTCATTTGCATTATGGATAATGTTTATGTTCATATACTCTATCTACTAAGGAACGAGTGCGTTATTGTCAGTGATGTAGATTGTTATGTTGTCATTAGAAATTTACTAGGTTTTCTTTCTCACATACTTCTGGTGCACATACGTGTATGTCAGTGGAAACTTCAAACATACAGAGAACTTTCTTTCTGTAAGGTTGCCTACACAAAGTATGATGCGCCCTGACTCCTTGAGTAGATGGAGTTTAGCTATAATTTTTTTATTATACAAGTAGCTAAGTAGTTTCTGTGCTAGTTCTTCATAATATAACAGACCTGTTAAATACTGTATCTTTTATGATAGACATATTTGAGTGTCAGATTTTTGAGAATGAATTGAGACAAAAATATCTTGGTCTCAATTCAGATTTTGGTAATTTTTAATAACTGTTCGTGCTTCATTCAGTAACATATCTGGTGTATTGTATTCAGAACACTAGCACAAATCCACTTGTGAAAGTGTCTTGCCTTTCCCACTCTCAGCCCATGACGCATATTTCGCTGTTTCCATATACATGGTATTGGTATCTGATATCAAACGGGATAGTAAGTGACTGGTGTTGTAAATTATGACTACAGTGACAGAATTGGTCAAGTAGAGAAAGTTCTTTTTCTTCTATATAGAATTTTTTTTACCAAACCCTAGTCATGGCGAAAAAATCAGTCTTGCACAGGTCTGTTGTATAATATGTATAAAAGATGTTTACTGTGTGATATTTGTGGAGAAATGAAAATGGAGAGTAGGAGAGAATATTAACAAGAAATTCAAACATATTTTTCACTCATAATGTCAAAAAAAGAGTTGTTTTGTAAGCACTGTGCCAGGCAATATGTTACTCAACAACAAACCTTTATTGTAATAGTATGTAACCTGTATACATGTTGCATGTGCACCTTCATTCTTAATTGAGACTAAAATTCTTTCTGCCTGCAATCTGCATGTTGGAAATTTCCATATTAGAATGCCGCGAAAGTGTGAAAGGAGTGTCACCATATGAGAGTGGAGTTTACCCACAAAATGGTGCATTTTGTGTCTGAATGCCAGATAGCTCTCTCAGTGAAGAAGGCCCCTGAAGACTATGCACCGATGTCAGAGGGAATGGAGGCGCACTGGGAAGTGGTGGAGAGAATTTTGTTCCTGTATGCAAAGCTGAACCCTGGGCAAGGATATGTTCAGGGAATGAACGAAATCGTTGGTCCCATTTATTACACCTTTGCCTGCGACCCTGATCTTGACTGGCGAGGTAAGGAAGAGGTTATGTAATATAAGCTTTAGTATTAGTCATGTGGAGGAATTTCCTTGCAAGAGGTGCTGGGTTTGAGACTGGCTGGTTCTTGCCCAGATTTTTCTGCTTGATTTCACTATACCTCCCTTCTGAAATGGTAACAAATTAGGAATTGCGTGCATAGTATAATAATTCTGGGATTTTCATTCACGTTTGTTTAATTTTCTTGGAAATTTTGGGCCTTAACAGGAGAAGTGTATTATTGAACATAAAATATGTTCCAAATTTTCTCTAAAATTTTATGCTCCAATAAGTATTTAATGATTTATGCTTTAGGTGTGCAGAGAAATGCATGTAAGTCTTCATGTAAAACTTTGTTACTTTTGTCTTATTTGAGCCCAAATTTGGAATATGTTCACAGATTTTAGTAAAACTCAGCAATTAATGAAAATCCCTGTAGCTATTCGTAAATTGTTACATGTGTACAGACAGAAAAATGAGTAGACATGGTGTAACTAATAGGCACACTGTTGCATGAGGGATTCAACAGCAAGTGAACTATATGTCCAACAAGTCGCAAAAGGTATCTACACTTCAGTGGCAGAAGGTAAAATTATGTATTCGACGTGCATTCTTAAAGAAATTTTCTTTTTTGTAGAAGAGCTTGTTGATATTTGACCTTCGTCAGATCTAGTAACCTTGCCTAAGCAGCAGTAAGTGACCTGCTTTGGATGACAGAATGAAACGACTTAGAACTATTCTGAAGCTTCTCCAGATCCTCATAGAATGTGAAGAATGAGAGCAGACTAGGTACTGTGCCACGCTTAGTGCAGTGGGCCTACAGTTTAGAGTGATCTGTGACCCGTGGTTGGACAGAGGTTGAATATTGAGATCAGCAGGCAAAAAACTGGATCTGGCTGAGTTTTGGTCTGAGACCATCAGCATGGAAGACAGCATGTTAATCATTGATTACCAAGGCAGTGTCAAAAACTGTAACATGATTGTCCCCACCCCATCCTTGTCATAGTGGTGTTTCCTTGTTATATATCTTTATGGAGGAAAGGTATCCTGTCTTTTCTTTTTCTTGCTGTTTTTTTTTCTGCCTTCCAGTATCTGGCATTCCATCTTAAAAACATATGCATTATTTGGATTTTTTCCTCTTGGTTAGTAGTGTCCATGGTTCAGAATTATATGCGGGCTACTCGGAAAGTAACCTCCAGCAAGCTGTTAACAAAACAAGCATTGAGGGAAAATGTATTAAAGACAAAAAAATAGACACATAATTAAGCTGCTACTTGATGTAGTTACTGCTGGACTTGAGGCACTTTTATCAGGGATAAGTGTTTGTGTGCCTGCATTAAAGTCTACCACCTACAAGTTGAGCCATTTATTGTATTGCAGGATATTAAAAAAAGAAAAAAAACTGCATAGGGCCCGTTCAGAACAAAACGTGTGGAATGCTGACATCTGGTATAGTGCTCCTACATAATGATGTGCTTCCGTATATGGCTGCTGGCACTTGAGCACTGCTGGAGCATTTCAATTGGTAGTTGTTTGAACACCCTCCTCACAGCCCTGATCTCTCTCCAAATGACTATACATGTTCACCTATCCAAAGAACTGATTGAGTTCACAACTCTACATCAGTAACTAGGATTTGGTGGAAGGTGTCAAAACATGAATAATTTCTTTGTGTCATTTCAGAACACGCAGAAGCTGATTGTTTCTTTTGTTTCACAAATCTGATGGGAGAGATAAGAGACTTCTTTATCAAATCTCTGGATGAGGCAGAGTGCGGAATAAATGGAATGATGGCGAAAGTGGGGGAAGAACTGAAGAATAATGACATTGAGGTCTGGTTTCAGCTGCAGCAACAGGAGCTCTGCCCACAGTACTACAGCTTCAGGTAAGGTTTAGTGCACTGTGTTTGTCACCATTATGCGGTCACTTCCAAGCTCATCATCGTCTGACAGCTGGAAGTGTATCTTGTACCAGTGATTATCCCATGAAGTGAAGGGATTTTGAGACTCTTCGTTCTGTCATACAGATGTCACCGAAATGCACAGAAACTGCGTGTGGTTTGTCAAAGCTTGTAGGAGTAACACTTCTGGGTTGTATCTGGGAGGTGCCTAGTTCAGATCTCAGCTGGGACACAGACTGTCGTGGCTGAGATATTTTGTGATTTTCCTCGTGAAAATGTTGGGATAGTACTTCAACTTAACGTCCATTATTTATCTTCCATCAATATTGCAACGTGATGCTGAAATACAGAATCATAGTACTTCAAATTTGGCCATGTCCTCTTCCTTTTGAAGTAATGATTCAGGAATCATCTTATCATTCAATGCTATGTAGTCCAAACTAGTAGGAGTGTTGATGAATAAGAATAAGTAAAATGCAGTGATGTGGTTTGTTGCCATCAGGTGGTTGACTTTACTGTTATCACAAGAGTTTCCACTGCCTGACGTGCTTCGCATCTGGGATTCTCTCTTTGCTGATGAAAATCGTTTTGGTTTTCTCATTCATATCTGCTGTTCCATGATCATGTGAGTAATACTAAGGTTTTGTTATCACAGTTACCTTGATGATTGGCAAGTAGTTTTGCCTGTAATGTCATGTCACGAGAGGTTTCACGTGTTTTAAATTAAATATAAGGTCGGTTTATGAAGACTGCACGTTTAGCATGTGGTGTTCATGGTTGCATAATTATGAAGTTGCATCATTGCAGGTTGCTTAGAAATCAACTTCTTAGTGGAGATTTTCCTGCCAATGTCAAACTCCTGCAGGTGAGTAAGGAATTAACCTTTTAGCCATCAAAACACCAAATTGGTTGTCTCCTAGCTTGCTCAGGCAAACCTTAGGACATGGAACGTTTTATATGTACATTTGCTTCCTTAATGAATGACAGTTTAAAGTGATCACACTAATCTTGCTGAGGTTTTAACTGCCGATCTCTTGAATGCAAAGCAGAAATGTTTCACAGAATTATCGCAATTGCATGGACTAAGGTAAAGTACAAAACAGGAGGTGTTTGATGTTTTTGTTTGCAGAATTTTCCGTCCATAGACATCCAGGTGGTGCTCTCTAAGGCTGCAGATTTGGCTGGTCTTGGCTAAGTACATACAACTTATTTTGGCTTTTTCATAATATAACAACATTAAGAGGTGGTGAATTGTGGTCTTGGAAGTCTTATCATTTGCATGGGACTAAAAAAATATTGTCACTTCATAGAGTGACTGTAGATGGGGTTTGGATGGGTAGTCTGATTTATTGAACTCTTACAAGTTGTAACTACAAGTAAGGATTATGCTGTTAGTGGTTTATAAATTTCACAGATCACTATAGGACACACTAGGCCTTCTGAGTTTGTTACAGTTTTCACCAGCCGTTGCTTGGTAGTGGCTTCCAATGGCAGATGTTCCCCTTCCTCTGGGTTCCCGAACTGTTCCTGGCTTCAGCTACCAGCTTCTCACAGCAGCAGCAAAAAAAAAAACAACCCCAGCAGTTCTCTAACTGCAGCTCCTGACTCGTCCTGCTTGTAACATCTCTGCATAGACTGCACCAAAGCCATCATTCCTGTGTTGCTGTTTTTGGGCTGCTACCTAGTAACGGCCATTATATAGTTGCTTATTTTGCTGCCATTGACTGGCAGTGGAATTACATGCCACAATATAAGTATGTAGCTAAGTTATCTACAGTAGAGTTGAATTTCAATTCTTAAAAGTCCTAACATTCAACACTGGGGGTCAATTCCTGGGTGAGATTAATGACATTTTTACTGTAATATTTCCTAAAGAGTTATATGGTGACAGTATTATAAAGGTTTTTTTCTTTTTCAGGTTGCAGTGTTTGAAATCTCACTGAAACCTTGAAAAGGGCTGGACAAAAATGGCTGCAATTCTGGCTTGAAACATTTGCTATCTGAAGCAAACCAATGAAAAGTGATAATTATTGAAGTTACAACTTTTTTTTTTTTAATATGTGTATTTCAGTTGAATTATCTAGTGCATATTTTGTTACACAAAGACATGCAACCTTCGTGAGAAGTAACGTCTCTTGCGTTTGTCTCTATAATGTCTTGTTCATTGTTTTGATCTAAAGCAGCAGTCATGATTTCATCAAAGGTTCTTTCATATTAGACAAATACTCAAAAAATGCCACTTCTTTGAATATTGTCTTTCTACAAGCTTGTGTTTGCTGCAGGGCAGTATACAGATCTGTCCCTCTTTTTTGTCATAAATATTGGAGACTAATGTCAACAGGTGAACTAATTCAGTTGTTAAAAAGATTTCTAAACCTTGATGTTAGTGGGAAGTTAATTCAAAATCAACTCATAAAATTAGAAATTCTGAAGGAGAAAGAAGAAAAAGAATTCAGCGCTTTTGTTGGTGAAATCTAACCTAATAAATGGCTACACTGTAACAGGCAGAAATGAACTGTTGTGAATGCTGACTTTTCAGCAGTGCCTACTTGCAAAGGAATTACACTAGAAAAAAAAGTAATGCTAACAACGCTCATTTCCGGTTGAAGTGGTGTGTGATGCATGATGTATGCATTCAGTACTGTTTTGAGAAGAGCTATTGAAGGAAAGGCTGGACAGTGCAAGCAGCATGCACAGAGGTGATGTGGCAAGGTTTATATTTTAAGATCTATTTCATTTACTCTTGGATTCCTTTGTAGTATAATTGTCTGGTTGGTGTTGCTGGATGGTTGAGAATTGTTTATTCATTCATTGCAATTCAAAGAATTGCAGTATTATTTGAGGAACTGAGTATTTTGTTACCAGAGAAAGTTCGCAGATTGTTTTCTATCTTTCTGTTGACATTATACATAATTATTTCTGTTTAATTCAGAGCTGAAAGGTTAATATTGAATGGCTGTTTTGCCATGACTGTGATCTCTTGTCCATCTCCTTGGTGAATTTACTGCTTATAATGAAATATCTTTCTTTGCTCAGTGGAGTGTTTTGATAGTGAGTTGTCAGGTATGTCGCGAGATTAACAAATTTACGTGAGTCTCGGATTTAGCGGATCTTTATTGGACGCACGCCCGCCCCCCCCCCCCCTACAATTTTTATCGCTTGCAATATCTCTTGACTTCTGGCCCAATACTCCAATACGACGTCTCAACTATCTTTGGCCGTGGTTGGATCTCAACTGTCTTCGGCGACAGCTATCCCAATACTGACTTCTTGCTGTCTTCTTCTATATCGTATGGCATTTAGGTTCCAGCTTATGTAGATGTTTTGCGAATTTGATACCAGAGATCATTCCTCACGGTTTTGTTTCTGCTGTCTGCTCTTACATAACGGGTCTTCTGCGAAGAAAAGCCAATTATCCAGATAGGTGACAATGGTGATGTTGAATCACCGATAAAGATGTCGGGCGACGGCAACACTGGCGTGCTGCATAATGGAGGGCGCCAGCGGATGCCCCATTGGAAGTCTGGTCCACAAACAAAGTAATTGTGATGGGCTCCGTGGTGCACTCTCAGTTGAACCAGATCAAACCTCGCAGAGCTGCAGCTGTCTCCACCCAAGCAATAGGTTTTTCATAGATGTAGTGTTGTACAAAGGCCTGTGGAGGTGGTCCCACTGCTAGAGCCGCTGAAGATCTGGGTGTAGCGTCGGTGTATAGCTGTCTGGACCGAAGCGGTGGCTGTAGGCATCATTCAGTTTGTAGTACTCCTTTGGTAAGCAGCAAGGACAGCCAAGTGATGTTTCTCTGAAAAATCAGTTGAGCCAGAAACTGGGGCCAAGCCATTGTCCAGGTCAGCCATGATAGATAACCCGAGATCCTGGCGTGAGGCTCTTGGAACTATCTGGATCAAATATTGCAAGTGCGTGAGGCATCATGGAGTTGGCTGGATAGTTCCTCCTACAGAGTTAATGCGCAAACCTAGGTATGCAATATCTGGAGTGGGCTGAGTGATGGATTTTTCTTTGTTGCTTGTGAAGCCTAGGTCTTGTAGTTCCACCAAAATGGCTGTGACTGGAAGATGATTATCTGCAAAGAAAAGCCAATCATCCAGATAGGTGACCATGGTGATGTTGAATCGCCGATGAAGATGTCTGGCAACAGCAACACTGGCGCGCTGCATAATGGAAGTCTGGTCCATGCGTATCGATTACCGTTGTAATAAAGTCCATAATTATGTTGAGTTTGGGGTGATATCTTGAAGTGATAAAAGCCACTTTTAAGGTCCAGCTTTATCATTTTGGCTCCCGGCGGAATTGTGGACAACACCTGTGCAGCTGAATAAAGTGTGATAGGAGGCTTCAATTCGATCCGGTTAATCCAAACTGATCCCACTTCTGACACCAGTTGTCACGTGTCGGGTATGTCAGACAGGTAACTTTACGTGGGTCTCTGATTTAGCGAATCTTTATTGGACACTAACACTTATAATTATTATCGCTTGCAATGTCACTTTACTTCTGTTCCAGTACTCCAATGCAACGTCTCAGCTATCCTTCGCCGTGGTTGGATCTCAACTGTCTGTCGCAACGGCTATCCCAATACTGACTTCCTCCAGTGTTCTTGACAAACAGCAAGTCTGTGAGTGCCTGCAGGTGTAGCGTTGAACCAGAGCTTAGTATCGTCAGCAAACCAGATTTCATACACATCGGCGCTGGCTCTACTCTCTCTCTGTCCGGAATATTAGGTATGCCAGGCCTGGTCAGGATGAACCTGGTGCTGGCATAGTGACCCAGCATGTGGACAGCCTGAACTATATTCAGTGGTAAGGGAGTGCCATACTTCAGAAGTACTTTTTGGACATACCCAGTGGCTGTGTTACGGTCCCCGGTCTGCCCAACATGATGGTTCATCAGCCAGAAGTTTACTTTTGTAGCACATATCACAGTATTTGTGATACTGAGAGTATCTCTGTCGGTTCTTTCTAAGACGCTATTCCTTGACTCTGACATTTGGTAGGATGTATTGGATTTTATCCAATCCCCGTCTGGGGCCCCATTTCTTGTCCGTAGCATTCCGCAACCGACAATTGTGGCCATGCCCGCCACAAACAAGAGATTGGTTCTATCGTCGTCGAAGTTCCTAGACATAGCCCATGCAACAGCACTGTTGTACACTTTCTAGTGGTCTTCCCATGCACTGGTAATTTATCGTTCTCTGGTAGTGTAGGGTCAACCCCCCGCAGCAGTGCCTACCTCCAAGTATCCATCCAATTTGGGAAGGTCTATAAGAGTCCCACTCTATGAACCAGAGCTAGAAGGTCGATCCATTTTATAGGATCAACCTGCAATTTAAAACCAAATTTTCTTTGAATTACTTTGTCTGAACCTGAGTTGGGTGAACACTTTCTCCACTTGTTTTTCCACGAATAAGGATTTGGGTTAAGATGTTTCTCCATGTTACATCAAAGTCTGGTGCACTCTCAGTCTTGGTTGGTGCAAAATGTGGACTGCCACAAAGTGTGGACTTAGGTGCCCAACCTGCCAGTGAAGTTATCAAAGATATTTTCTGTAAAGGCGTTATCCTTGCTCCCTGTCAGGTAAAAGGCACCCACGTGGAACCTGGATGGGTTTTTCATGATGCTAGATTTCCACTTGGGCAGAAGCGTGAAATCTGAAATGTCTGGGCAGAAGTGTGCAAACTGACCAGGGCCCTTATTGAGCAGGTGCCAGTTGTGCAGCTACTCAAGAATTTCCCAACATTTTATGGAACCCAGTGGTTCGTTATCATGTTCACAAGAGCCCTCCACTGGTTCCTATCCTGAGCCAGATGAATCCAGGCCTTACCTCCCAATCTTATCTCTCTAAGATCGATTTTAATATTATCCACCCACCTATGTCTTGGTCTTCCTCTTCCTAGTGGTCTGTCTTCGACTGGCTTTCTCACCAATATGCCATATGCATTCCTGTTCTCCATTCGTGCTACATGTCCTGCCCATCTCACCCTTGACTTTATCGTTCTAGTTGTACGTTGAGAAGACTACAAGTTACAAAGCTCCTCATTGTGCAGTTTTCTCCAACCTTCTCTGTCGCTTCATCTCTCTTCGGTCCAAATATTCTCAGACTGTGTTCCTCCTCTAATTTCAGAGACCAAGTTTCACACCCAGAACCACAAGAAAAATTGTAGTTTTTTATACTGTGATTTTTACTTTTTTAGACAGCATATGAAAAGATGAAAGGTTCTGGACTGAATGGTAACAAGCATTACCCAAGTTCAGTCTCCTCCTAATTTCCTGCTGAATTTGTTATAGTCATTCCCAAATATCTGAACTGTGTAAGATTTTCAAGGGATCTGTAAGCTGTCTTTTTATGTCATGATTTTTTCCCTGCATTCTGGTGACAAGTGAGCAACATAGTGTAATGTTTCATCNGTCCACCTAATTTCCTGCTGAATTTTTTATAGTCATTCCCAAATATCTGAACTGTGTCAGATTTTCAAGGGATCTGTAAGCTGTCTTTTTATGTCATGATTTTGCCCTGCATTCTGGTGACAAGTGAGCAACATAGTGTAATGTTTCATCTGTGTGACACGAAATGGATAAATTGTGTGACTTCGGATCGGAACAAAGCCTTTTATTGGAGGCACTCTTACAGTCGCATACAGTGTCACAGTTACTGCTTCAACTGAGCTGCTCAACTCTTCCTCCACAGTGGTCTATTCAACACTGAACTCTGTTCCAACTCTGCTGTATTTTAGCTCTCAACCTCAACACTGAAGTCAACTGTACTAGGTGGATGCTGGAACTTCATGTAGTCTGGTTCACTCAACCTCTTCATATAGGCGCTTTTCAGGCTGATTAGTGAACACCTTCACCCAGGGTTCAATTTCACATGTTCTGTGCATGTTACTGCAGAAATGCATTATTTCTGCTGTTTCAACAGTCCATTGCTTAGGAAATGCTAGCTTTGGTTTCAGCCTATTGTTACGCAACGAACCATCCATTGTCCTTTCATCGTGGGAAGCACGTTTGTTGTTTCCCATGCGACGGCCCACTGATATTGCGTTTCCATGGAAGTATCCCTCCCTGATTCCAGATACACGACATTGCTCCCTTTTAAAGGTAGTTCGTCCCGAACAGCCTAACAATACTTCCCTACGTTCCTTTCCTTGGTGGTCAACATTGTCTCTATAGCGACTCTGATGACTATCCTCTGTGCGGCAGATCATCCTCATTCTAGTAGCGGCTCACTCCTTCCGTGGGTGACACTTTTCCTGGTTCGTGCTCGTCCCGAAGATGTGTCTCCTGCGTTGTGCCACTGTTTCATGATGGGACACTTTCTGGTCTGCCGTTTTCCATGCCATTGTTGCACCGTGGCTCGTACCTCTGCGCTCGACTGCCAGTGATTTTGGCACCCATCCTGATTGTGGGCCCATTCCTGTTTCCTACCGTTGACTTTCATTCCTATGCCATTTCTTCTTCGGTCCTCTGATCACCTCAGATTTCATGTCCACTGAAGTCTGCTCTTTTTCCCCATTTCGTGTATCACTCTCATCTGGTTAGCGTCTTTTTATTCTTTCCATTACTTTCTTTAGTTCTCTTAGACTGGCCTGTCTATCAGCATTCGATTTGGCCAGCAACTCTCTGTGTCCGACCTCCACCTTCATCTGGTTGGTTTTTATGTGCTCTTGCATGGTCTCAGTCCTGGCCAGCAGGAGTTCCAACACTTCTGACTCTATTTCCTTCGGTGTTTTCGTGTTTCAAGTTCAGTCCCACTTCTGTGATGCCAGTGTAACATGTTGACTGTGTGACGCATCACTGATAGATTGTGTGGGTCTTTAGATCAGAACAAATCCTTTTATTGGACACATACAATTATGTATCACTTGCAGTGTCACAATTACTGTTCCAACTGCTTTGAATGCTGCTGCTTTGGATCTGTTGTATCATTAGAGTCGATAGATCAAAGGCCCTTGCCACAAATCTTAGCACCATGGAAGAACAGCTGAATGCATTGCACTTTTGCGCCCTGACACCACATCATCAATTCAAAGAAGAGGAGATCTCTGAAGTTCCCCAGCTTCATCAGCTACAATCTGTCCTTGGAATGCGCTGTGAGCCAACATGACATACCAATCCACAGGATGCATATGGTCCTTGGCAGTAGCTTGTATTGTATCTGCACTTCAGTTTGAAGAATTGAAGACTAATAACAATAGTGAACTCTGTAACACCTTGAACGTTGTGTTGAAATGCAACTCTGAACTGGAACTCTTTGAGTATGAAATTGAGATCAGGTGATGCAATCTGATTACACAGATTTAAGAAGCTGCTGCTTATCTGTAAGTTACCTGCTGAATTGCCCAACATCTGCATCACAAATGAGAAGAAGGGGGGTTGAATTTATAATTGTCTGTATTGCTTCTAAGGGGAGCAGTTGAATTGTTGATTTTTCTCGCAAATCAGTTTTGTGAAATTTCACGTTGTTGAACTTTATGCGCATCTGATCCTGTATTGAAAGGTACTCAGTTGAAAGCAATTCTGTATTGATTTCAGAAGCCAAGAGTATTGAAGACAGTGCCTCGTGACTTGAAGTGTTGTGTCAGATAACAAGTGAAACCTCCCATGTCTCGATAGCTTATAACTGATCCTTGACTTGCTGATTCAGTGGTTCAGACATTTGTTGTTATTTAATGCAGTTTTCCTGCAGCCAAACACTCTCAGAGCTTGTGAAGAACGCATTTGGTGCCTTTGCCAAATTTTCTCCAACAAAGTAGAGGTGTAGCTGTTATCAATCTTCTTCTCAAATGAGTTAATTGGTGTCAATCTTCTCCATAAATGAGTTAATTGGTGCAGACACTGACAATTAACCAGCTGTGACATTTGAGCATGTCTGAAAATTGTCTTTGACAGTGAATGTGGTGGTCTTTCTCAATGGGACTGCTTTGGAATAATGAATATTCCTCGTGATTATATTCCTGGACCATGGTATCAGCTTCATCTAACTCTACAAATGAAACCTTGTACTCGATTTAATGTTTGCAGATCCTTCTGAAGTTGTCCATCAACACGAACATGCTCCAATTTCTCTTTGTTTCTCAGACTTTGGCTGACTCCTGCCATGTGCAGAATTGTTATCAATGTTTGACAATTTACTGTAATTTACGGTTGACCTGGGTGATTAGTTCCCTTGTGAAACCAATATATGAATTGTCATGGAGCCCCATGTTCACTGATTTTTTGGGTAGAGTGACCAGTCCAATTCATCATCACTTGCCTTAAGGCAGTGTTCACAGTCCTTCCTGAGTCTGATTCAAAGTGTGATTTGCTGTGGTATTGTTTGCCACGCATTGAACTCTGTTGCATAGAGTGCTGTTGACATTTCAAATGCTAGTAGGNACTTCCAAAATTAATTGTCCAGTCACCATGTAAACTCCTTAAACACGATCTGTTGATGTCTTGTTCTTGTTAATTCATTAGGTCCAACAATTGGAGACCAATGGTTTGTAGGTACCCGATGAGAGATTGACCCTGAAANTGTGGTATTGTTTGCCACGCATTGAACTCTGTTGCATAGAGTGCTGTTGACATTTCAAATGCTAGTAGGCTTCCGAAATTAATTGTTCAGTCACCATGTAAACTCCTTAATGCACGATCTGTTGATGTCTTATGTCCAACATACGAAGTAGTAGTTAATTCATTAGGTCCAACAATTGGAGACCAATGGTATGCAGGCACCTGATGAAAGATGGAGCCTGAGATGTATTTCCAACACTGAAGAAGCAGTTACCCGCGCCTGCTTGAATATCTTTACTTCAATATTCACATTCAAAGCTGGGCAGAAATCACATTGCGTTATAGGTAGCGGGAGGACTTTTAAGGTCAGTGTGCATTCCCAAAGACATCTCACGTAGACCACGAGTGTAGCAGATGGTGACCGGTTTATGAGTTGGATGGATCCACAAGGTGAATGTCTCGTGTATTAAGCCCTGGGCTTGTAGTTCCTCATGAGATGGAAGTATGTACTGGAGTTTATCAACTGGACATGGATATGTTACTCCAGTTATTTTCTTCATCCACAGCTAGTCATGGAGGAGTTCACTTATCTATGCAGGATGGAGGTTGCATCACTGTTGCATGATATGTTTACACTGGTTGTACACGGCACATAGAAACACTGCCTTATTGTTGCGTAACCTGACAACCAATCGTTTATCAAGAGTCTGTCTTCGTGGTAACTAGTCCACATCCCGTCGCCCAGCAGCGGTTTGACATGAGACACTATGTTGGTCCTTATTTTGTGTTTCACTATTTATAGTAACATGTTGGAGTCTTTTTGTCCAGATATTCTAGGCAGAACTGATGTGCCGGGTGGGGGATTTTAACACCCTCTATTGGTACACCATGAGTGGCCGGTGTCCAACTCATCACACGAATTGTGTTAGCTAAGGTAGTAGGGCCTTCATGTGATATCTTTCTACTTAGTGGTATCTTCAATGCTGGATTATATAGTTGTAACCACTCTGTGATACAGCTTGGCTGTATTTTGTCCATTTGAGATTTCATACTACTGAAATTTGATACTCTCCTCTACAAGATTAAGGTAGCCTGTTATATTTTGAGATGTACGCCAGCTTTTCTCCATGAATAGTATTCCTCAAAATTTTTTGCAATGGACGAGGATGACATGGTTTGGTTTTCACAAGATGTGCAGCAAATTCTTGATCATTTATTCTAGTCTTACCTGAGAATATCATTGCCAAGTCTTTATTTTTTT